TTTTTGTCTTTTTGTCTTAAATTTTAGAATTTTTATATTGTAATTTTAATAATTTTTTATTTCTACTATTTATTAATTTTTTCTTTTTTTAATATTTTATAATATTATTGAAATCTTATAATTTTAACTCTATAATTTTATCTTACTTTTTATTTTATAAGTATAATTTGGATTATTTATTTTATAAGTAAATTAATTTTTTTAAAAATTTTTATGAGTTTACATAAAAAAAAATGTATTGAAACCCCTTGATCTTTGAGGGTACTGTAGCAACTCCCAAAAGTTAATACGTTGAGCTAATAAGGAGGAACTTATCATTGTACCAATAATAATTAATATAATCTCAAAAATAAGAGAAATTTACACGAGACTACGTATAGTTATTGAATTATATACTGGGAACGGGTATTTAATTTAACATTTATAAGCTATTTTATTTTGTTATAGTCAAAATAACATGGGTCCTTTTAACCAATATTTATTGGTTCATAACACATTTTTAACAAATATTTATCGGTTCAAGTGTTATAGTTGGTTATAAAATTTCAACGTCTTGAATTTAATTAAAAAAAATGATGCGGTAGATACTCCTATATATTAATACATGATAAAAAAAATGTCTTTCTCAATTATTATTTTTTAATTATATTTATATAATATAAAAATTATAAATATTGATAAATATATAATTATATATTTACACATTTTATATCATTTTGATTTATATAAAAAAATAATTATATCTTTTAAATATATTAAGTATGATTATCAGATATTGTTTTTCTCTTACATATTTAAATAATTATATTAATTCTTAATGTAGTGACTATTCTTCAAATATAACTAACTAATCAATTAATGAAAACAAATTTTGGAATCATTCTATAGGTAAAATTAAAATTTGTTTATTAATTATTTTTTATATAAAAAGAATTATCTAAATTTTAGTTTAATCGGTAGTCTTGAGTTTGAGTTCTAGATAATATAATTGTATTAAATATTCAAATAGAGTATTTTGTTGATCATAATCTTATTTGACTCGAGGAAGATTATATTTAGTAGAGAATATTTTTTATTTATATCAAAAGAATATATCAATATTAAAATTATTTTTTATTAAATATTATTTTAAATTTAATTTATTGAATTGATTATACTCAAATAAGTAGTCACCACAAAATATAAACTTTAATAACTTATTTCATCATTATTGGTGTTTGAGTATAAGTTTTGTTGAGACATAGTAATCTTATCACAAAGTGTAGGATTGTATTCGGTGAAAGATATACTTAGTCTAAACTAGTAATGTATATAACCTTTTAAAAATTTATCTTATATTTATACCAATTATTTATTATGAGTTTATTTTTTTTAAAACAATAATAATTGAAATTTTGGATTGTACTATGTTAAATTTTTATATGAATATAATTTTTAATAATATACAAAGTATTAAATTAATATTTTATTAATAACAACAGAAAAGATGATATATATGATAAAAAAATGGTAATCCTATTTAATTCAAATCCAAATAAGGGGCACGTATTATTTATATATATACACCAAGCTTACAAATTCGTAAAAAATATATTAATAAACTACTATGTTAATCTAATGACACTACTAGAAAAGTGTTATTTTCTTGTGAATTTTTCTGCAAAATAATATTTGCAGAAATTTTTTGCGAATTTTCTTGCAAAAAAATATTCGCAGAATTTTTTTGCGAATTTATTTGCAAAAAATAATTTACAAATATTTCTTACAAATTTTGCTACAATTTTAATAATCATAGAAATTGTTTTCTATGGTAAAAATTTACAAAAAATATTGTAAGAATTTTATTTGTTTCTTGCATATTTTCTTGCAAAAAAAATTCGCAAGTAATGTTTACTAAATGGTAGAAAAAATTTGCAGGTAACTTTTCCTGCAGATTTTCTTGCAAATTTTAATCTGCGAGAAAAATAAAAAATATTTAAATTTATAAGTTTAATATTTTAAAAAAACTTCAAGTCCCATATCGATTGAAAATAAAACAATTAAAGAGTATATAAGTTGGGGTAACACTTACCTTACAAGTTGATTTGTATGGTTGAGTGTTAGGCTTAGAATCTACAATTTTAGAATTTAAAAGATTATGTATCACATGTTGGAGGCATGGAAACAAATGTTTCAGATGAATTCATTGTAAACATTTGAAAGTTAAAAAATTATAGATAGAATTTATAGTAATTTCTTTAATTTTTTCGTAAAAAATATTCCTGCAAAATTTCTTGGAAAAAAATTTGCAGGAAACTTTTCTGCGAAATTTTTTTTGCAGTTTTTGCAAGAAACTTTCCTACGAATTTTTTTCGCAAGAAATTTCGCAGGAAATTTTCCTGCGAATTTTAAAATTCGCAAAAATATATTATTCACGAAGTTATTACCTGCAGATAAAATTTCGCTGAAAAATTTGCAGGAACAACATTTCCTGCGAATTTTTATGAAAAATTTGTAGGAAAAGTCGCATGTAATAAGAGAAATTCTAGTAATGTGATTAGGAAGAAAAGAGTTAAGAAAGTAGAAGTATAGGGATATTTATAATCTTATTTTAAAAAATATGTAAAATAGTAACGTATCTCATTT